TATGTATGTATGTATCTGCATCTCAACAACAATAGTATTCATTTAGGCTGAATTTAGAAAGAAAAAAAGATTCTTTGATTTTGAGGCTTGTGGAGCTGGGTGTGGTGGTGCACATCTATAACCCCAGCACTTGAGAGGCTGAGGTAGGAGCATAGCTGTGAGTTCAAGGCCAGCCTCGGCTACATAGTGAGACCCTGTATCAAAAACAAAAAACTTCTTTTGAGGATTGTGAAGCCAGACATAGATATTTGGCATGGACTAGGGACAGATTAGTGATGTGATAAATCAACATTTATTGTGTGTGCAGTGTAGTCGGGCACACCCAAGTCAGATCCAAGTTCTGCCTATGGCTCCCGTCTGTGACTATTAAAACAAGTTTCCTCGGGCCGGGGATTTAGCTCAGTGGTTTCGCCGCCTGCCGCGCAAGCACAAGGACCCAAGTTCGGTCCCCGGTACCAAAAAATAAAGTAAAACAAGTTTACTCACCTTTTTTTTCCCGCCTGCTCCTGGGGCTTGGACCAGGGCCTCACACATGCTAGACAAATGCTCCAGAGATGATCTGTATCCCTCAGCCCTTTTAAAATTTTTGGAATTTAAAATTCCCTGAGTTTCCTAGGCTGACCTCCAATTTATGATCCTCCTCCCTCAGCCTCCTGAGTAGCTGGGGTTATAGGCATGTACCACCACTCCCAATTTGGCCAGTCATTCATCTAGTCTAAATTTCATCTTCACTAAAATAGGAATGATGAGAGTTGAATAAAGAGATGATCCACATATCACACTAAATGGCTCAGTGCCCCGCACACATTAAGTGCTTGATAAATTATTACTTGACCTTTTGAAATTCTGGTGCAGGGCAGAGAATACACAGGAGGAACTCCGAGAATTCCAGGAGGGAAGCCGAGAATACGAAGCTGAATTAGAGACACAGCTGCAACAAATTGAAACCAGGAATCGAGATCTCTTATCAGAGAATAACCGCCTTCGAATGGAGCTGGAAACTGTCAAGGTGAGGGGGTGAGAGGGATGGATGGGCTTGCAGCAAGGAGGAGCTCTGTGGGGTGAGGGGCTGAGGATTGGGCCCCTCCTACCTGCAGGCCTTATAGGTGGGCATGGTTATTGCACTGTATGCCCCCGATGTGTGAAGCTCTGAGACAAGCAAGTCACACATGTGTCTCTGTGGCTTTTCTTTGTGATCTATACTTATTTCATAGGGCACAGGACAGGGAGACCTTTTTAGAGGTTGGAATATCACCCTAGAATTGCTAATCATTATATTGTGAGGTCCAGAGCTGTGCTGTCCTGTGTGGCCTCTAGCTGCGTGTGGGATTGAACTGTAAGTCAATGAAAAAACTCAGTCCACGATGGCCATGTTTCTAGGCCTGATAGCCAGCCACATGTGGGTCACGTGTATTGTTAATAGACAGAAGGGCTATAGAGCAGTTCTGTCATGACAAAATGCTATGTGGGCAGCACCAGTCTAGAGCAGGTTTCTCATCTTATGCCTACAGCAGTCTGCTAGTATTTGTGCTTTCACTTTGCATGATTTTAGTTACCTGTGATCAACTGAGATCTGAAAATATTTAATAGAAAATTCTAGGCATAAATAATTGGTAAGCTTTTAAATGACTTATATAATTTGTTTTAATCTATTTTATTCTCATTAAAGTTTACAAATTAAACTTTATCAGAGGTATGTCACATAGGAAAAACCAATAGTATGTGTAGGGTTAGGTACTATCTCAAGTTTTGGGCATAACAAAATGTCTTGAAATGTGTCCATGAATAAGGGGTAATGCTTCCTTGACATTGAGGCTATGTAGTTCTCTGGTGTGAGGGGTGAGTTTTGCATTGTAGCATGTTCAGTAGCCTCCCTGGACTCCATCTACTGGATTCCAGTAGCACTCCCCCACCCCTGAGGTTGTGACAGCCAGAAATATCTCTAGATGTGTCCAAGCTCAAGCAGTATCTGGTCCCCCTTGGATCATGGCTGCAGAGGTCTCCAAGTGCCTGGATGGCTGAGCACTGTGAACCTAATCCCCACGAACCAATTCCCTAGTTGGGCAGGATGGCCTCAGGCTTTCTTCTCAAAGGAAAGTTTTTCACTTTTACATTTTTGAGCCTTTGAAGGATAGGTTCTTGCCTGTTCCTGAGATGCACTCAAGCCATGTTTCCTGTTGTTCCAGTGCAAAGTACTTGGCTTCTTTTTAATAATCTTTTCAGCATCCATGTTCTTTATTCCAACTTTGTAGGCACTTCCTTTCCGGCAAAACTGAAAACTTTGAATGGGCTTTTTGTTCCTATTTCTTGAGATAAATCTGGCTGAAAGCCACCAGCAGTTACCATGTAGAAGAGTGAACATCGGACTGCCTTGAAATTTCCTGTCAGATTCTGAATTTGCAATCCTTAATCTCAGGCTCCCAAAAAGTCTCAGGACATGAACAAAATGAAGACACATTTTCTGCCAGAGGATAACACACACGGTCTTGAGTCTGTCAGTGGAGTACTTGTTCCCAACTGCAACATTCTGAGCCTGGTCTTTTACTGTCTGTATTTTTCTTAGCATTCTGGTCTTCTGAGGCCCAACTAGAATTGGCTTAGGCCATTCTGTGGTTTCTCTAGCCAGCATCTCTAAATCTTTCCAAACCCCTCCTGTAAACCAGTTCCAGAGCTTCTAAGTCACATGGCCAGGTATAATCCTGGGCAGAATCCCATTCCTGATACCAAATTTTATCTTAGTCACTTTATGGTCACTGGGACAGAATGCCCAACACTCACAACTTAAAGGAGAAGAGGTTTGTTTTGGCTCACAGTTTCAGAAATTTCATTCCATGCCTGGCTGGCTCTAACACAGAAACAGCATATTGGAAGGGCCTAGGCCAAGGATATCTGTTCATCCCATGGCGCAGGAAGCGGAGTGCAAAGGGAGAAATCAGGGAGGGAAACACATTTCCAGGTCGTGTCCCGCAGTGACGCACCTCTTCTGACCAGGGCCCTCCTCCTAACGGCACATTGCTCCGTTGATGAGTGTGGCCCCCCACAATCCAGGCACCTGCCAAAAGCCCCACTTCCACTTTTGGAGGACAGTCGAGATCCAAACCACAGAGTGTCCAGTGGGAAGCCTGGCCTTACTCTCATGTGGGGAGATATGAGATGACCAAGTGCGCTGGTGATTCCAACAGAAGGAGAAGAAAGGTCTTAAAGACCTTGGAACCTGATCAGTGAAGTTCACGTTTTATATTGTAGACCAGAGAGCCCAAGCTGACCATCCACAGATCAGTCTGGCCTATAGATGTTGGCTTATCTTTTAGTGATTTTTACTCCAAGCAAACCAAGAAAGTTTCTAAGCACACAGCGTGTTTGAAAGAATTTTCCAGTGAATACCTGTATACCCACCCGCTAGGTTCTACCATGACATTGAGCATATTCGCCTTTGATTTATAATGTTCCTGTCCATCCCTCCTGCTTTTTCTGATGCATTTCAAAGTAAATTGCAAGAATTTATACACTTCCCCCACGTACTTCAACCTGCTTATCATTAGTACTCAGCATTTATTTATAGTTTGTTTCAGTAGTAAAATTTGTATTTTTAGGCTTTTTTACATATTTAATAAAAGCATCTAAGATTTATAAAACTTCCCAGAAAAATCCAGATTTCTGACTTTCCTTGAGAATTGGACCTGGGATTCCGACAGAAAGCTGAGTCTAGTCTGTCTCAGCCCCTGTAGCCCTGATGCTGAAGGCCAAGAGCTGGTTGCTGCTTGTCCTGCAAGTGGCCCACTTGTCTCATTGTTAGCAGCCTGACCCCTGCAAGAATGCATACTTGATCCCTGCCATAGGCAATAAAGAATTGCCCTTGATCTTAAATTGAACGGAACTCAGGGATGAGTAGAGAGGATTTATGGTATAAACTATGGCTTGGAGAGGATAAGAGATACCCATAGATGCTGAATAAATATCCCTCACTTACTGAGTAATTAACTGCTTCAAGACTGAGCCTTATTGGTTGAGATGGTGTACACATGTAATCCCAGCTACTTGGGAGACTGAGGCAGGAGGACCACAAGTTCAAGGCCATCTTGTGCAACTGAGTAAGACTCTGTCTCAGAATATAATAAAAAAGGACTGGAAATGGAGCTTTGCACTGATGTGCTTGTATAGCATGTGTAAGACCATAGGTTCAGTTCCTAGTACTGCAAAAAGCAAAAGACCTCAAACCTGCAGAAGGCATCTTCAATACAGCCTCATGACAGACTTGGAGCTCAGAGCAGGGAAGAAATACGAGTGCCTGGGAGAAAGACTGCACTGCCACTGGTAAATATTTGTCAGTCACCTAAGAGAGATGTGTTGATCTGAGACGACTTCTTGACAATTGGTGCATTCATCACAAGTTGAATACAAAAGCCTGTCAGGGATCAAACAGAGCATCCATTGAGGCTTCATCAGCTGACAGCTTTTTATAATCAGCCCCAGCTTTCCAGCAACAGCTTTTCATGTCATGAGTTCAAAGGGGAGACTCTGTCTGAGTGTATATGTGGGTGGAGGAGTCTGTTGCCCACATCCTCTTGGAACCCACCTTGGAGTTGAGGTTAATGACCTGGGATTGTGTTTAATTTGGAGATGCCACCAAATAAAGGGTGCAAGGTGGTCCGACTCATGCCTGAGTATTGACTCATGCATAGGGAGGGCTAGGCTGCCTCTTCCTGAATTCAGACACCCGCTCTCTGCTCACAGCCAGGAAATGGGAACATCAAAGGGGCCCCAGTAGCTGGAGGATGTGGAATGCGCTCCCTGTCATCACCCTGTGTGAATAATTGCTGTTCTTTGGCCTTTCTTCTTTCCCAGGGCCTCTCGCCACACCCCTGTGGCTCAGCACCATTACATCACCTTCCGGTGCATGGGGACTGTTTGTAGCAACAGCTTTGTTGACTGGTTCTAGTCAAGAAGAAGAACTTGCCTTTGTTTTTAACTTTCAGAGTAGACCTTGAGCCTTTCTTGTGGGATACATTTTGTGTTGTGTTTGTGGAAGGGTGTTTGATAAAGGAAAGGAATCTGAAAGCTGGATATGGAGACATGTGCTTGTAATCCCAACACTACGAGGCTGAGGCAGGTGACTGCAAGTTCAAACCCAGCCTGGGCAACTAAGTGAGACCTTGTCATAAAAAGTGATAAGGGGCTGGGGATATAACTCAGAAGGCCCTGGGTTCAATCCCAAGTGATACACACACACACACAGAATCTGAAAGAGGAAGGTCTATACCTTGGTGATCTGGATTGAAGCAGTTTAGGGCCATTTAGCATCCATCACTGTAAAGAGCACCAGCTCATGTGGCTTGGGCTTGAACTTCTCCAGTCATTTGATACCAGTCAGCTTTGGGCTAGCTAAGTAACAGCCTCAGTTCCCACACCTCTGAAGTGGGATAAATGAGAAAATGTACATACGTAGTGTACTAGGCTGAAGGCCCCCACAGAACAACTGTGTAATATGTTATCTGCTTCAAATGAACAAAAGCTCCTTGATGAGTGATCTTTGGACACTTCTCTGCTTTTGGGCAGCCCTAACCAATCACAGTAAGCTTCCTCCCATAATTAATAACAATTTCTTTTCTCTTCCTTTTCCTTCCCTTCCCTCCCTCCCTTGTCCAGAAGTTTCTTGTGACTTTTCCCATGCTACAGGAAAGTGTCCTGATCAAAAAGTTAGGACAGTTGTCATAGGCAGTGCCTGATGCCCTCCTCCTATTGGGAGGCACAAATAACCAAAGTCATCCCTAATAATCTCTGTAATATAGTGTGTGAAGCAGATCCACTTTGCCCTGGTGAGTGAGGCTTTCTTTGGCTGTGGCCACCTTAGGTGATTTATTTGAAAGTTGTTGGTTTTGGAGCGCTGGCTGTAGGAACCAGGTGTGAGAGTGGGCAGGGTACCAGGTGCTCAGGGGACCAGGAGGCAGGAAGCCCTCAGAATGTTGTTGGAATACAGTAGTTGCTTAGGATGTGCCTGCTTTGAATGACTGCCACCTGTTCCCACTGGCTTCGGTCACTCGCTCAACATTGCAGGCCTCTAGAAAGAAGGTCTGGTGATTGAGCTTAGCAGGAGCTTGCGAAAGGATGGCTGGAGCTGCGTCCACAGGGGTGATGGGAAGAGGTGTCCCAGAAAGACCCTAAAATCTGGGGAAGAGAAACCCTGGAGAGGAGTCAGTGCTGGTAGGACCTAGGGAAGGGGAGGAATGGATGAATGGCTGCATTTGTAAGGAGCTGACAGGGAAGAGACATACACATAGCTTATCAAAGTCTTAAATCATTCACTCACTGTTGATTTTGTCCCTCAGGAGAAATTTGAAATGCAGCATTCTGAAGGCTACCGGCAGATCTCAGCTTTGGAGGATGACCTGGCACAGACTAAAGCAATCAAGGATCAACTGCAGAAGTACATCAGGGAACTGGAGCAAGCAAACGATGACTTGGAAAGAGCCAAACGGTATGCTGGGAAGGAGGAAGCAGGCTGGGAGCTTTTTGTCTCTTGCCCCAGCACTAAGCATGGTACTAGGCACTGTGTTGAATCGAGAGAACTCAGCAATGAGCACCAGTGCCTTTCTGGATCTTCGTCTCCCGGGGCAATAAATAGGTAAATAAGAGCAACTTAATGATAGCAAGAAGTGCTGAAGTCCAGTGTGCTATGGGGCCTATAACAGGATATGTTCATTTGGCCACTGGTGGGAGGTTGACAGGCAAGGCTCCCTAGAGGAAATGCTGTTCAGACCAGAGAGAAGAGTGTGAGGATTCCAGGCAGGAAGAGAGCATGGGCAAAGGCCCTGACGTAAGAAGGAAAGGAACATGCTCAAAGCACTGTATTTCTTACACTACTGCTCTGTAGTTTAACAGAATAACAATAACATTTATGGAATGATTATTGTGACTATAGGTACTTTTTTGGGAAAGAAAGCTCTTGCTTTTTAAGAATTTACATATTCTAGACCCCATAAATATTTTTTGTGTTACTAGGAATTGAAGGCCTTTCTCTTGAGCTACATCCCCAGCTGTTTTTGTTGTTTTGAGACAGGGTCTTGCTAAGTTGCTAAATTGCCCAGGCTGGGCCTGAACTTGCAGTGCCCCTGCCTCAGGCTCCCAGAGTGCCGAGATTACGGGCTGTGCCATACCTCTGGTCTTTCTACTCTACTTAATATTGTATCACTTCCTTCAGAATGTGACTTCTCTGCAGTCTTAGTTTCATTTATGATCCTTGCATTTTATGGTATAGTCGTAAAATTTATTATATCACCAAATACTAGGAAGTCCGTACTACATTGTTGTAAGTTTTGCTTTTAGAATCCGTATGTATTGGGCCAGGGATTTAGCTCAGTGGCGCCACACCTGCCTGGCAACCGCAAGGTCCTGAGTTTGATCCCCGGTACCACAGGAAAAAAAAAAGCCATATGTATTTTAAAGAAATTGAGAGTAGAAAAATAGCCCCTTTATATTTTCCCACATATTTTCCCTGTATGTTTTTGGGGGGTTTTTTTGGTACTGGGGATCGAACTCGGGACCTTGCGCTTGCAAGGCAGGCGGCAGAACCACTGAACTAAATCCCCGGCCCAGTATGTGTTCTTTACAGCATGTTCCATACAGTTATTAAACTGACTTTTTACTATTCACTTATTTGAAACTGTAGAGTTGATAGAGGATGTATGTCATTTAAGTTTTACTTCAGATCTTATGAAACAAATTTTTTGGGACATTTATGTGTGGAGACAAAGTTGTTTACTGTATGTAACCATCACGTCTCAGTGGACGTGATTTAACAGTGTGGTTTTTATATTACAAAGAAGAAAGCAAGTATGTATATTAGTTTTTTGGGTTTTTTTGGTACCGGGCATCAAACTCGGGACTTTGTGCTTGCGAGGCAGGCGGCAGAACCACTGAGCTAACCCCGGCTACCGTACCTATTTTTAATAAACAAGGCAACATAGGACCAGGGATGTAGCTCAGTGGCGCTGCGCCTACCTCGCAAGTGGAAAGTCTGGAGTTCGATCCCTGGTACCACACACAAAAAAATTTTTTTTAAATAAATAAATAAAATAAGGTAACATGATAACAAACCTATTTGTGTTTAAGGAACACAATAAACTGATGAAATTTACTTATCTTAAAACCTTGGTTTTTAGATTAACTAGGTTTGGATTAGCTTTCTATACATAAATGGGGACCTCCACTGTAACATGGATGTTAGCACAGGATCTCACTTCCATGAACACAGGTACTTGGCCAATGCCAGATCCAAGGGAAGGATGAAGCCACACAAACAAAACCCCCCGGGGCTAATGAAAACACTCATTCCTCCTTGCAACTTTTTCTCCTGTTGTATCGGTCTCGATGTACACAGGCACAGTGCTACTTTAGGGTGGCATACAAAGTGTCATTTTCACTTCCCAGCCCCCGTAACTGTTCCAAGGAGGCTACACAAGGGTAATGGTCTTTTAACATATCTGGAAATTTAGGAGTCTTCCCTTAAAGCCATTGAAAACACCTCATTGCTGTTAGAAACTTTAGCTCTTTAAATGCAGAATTTGTTTAATCAAGTTGCATCTTTCTTTTTTATACTTTGCAAGTACAACATAGTAGATATATTTACTTATGCAACTTGATCTATTTTCTGTATCTGGGTTTTAACATTGTTGGTTGGATCTTTTTTTTTTGTCACCTTGCTGTTTTATATAATCTTGAAATACCACATTTCTATGGTTATTCTCCATTTCTAGCTTTTCTAGCTCTAGATGAATACCTGTATCTTTGGTGTTGATTTCCTGGACTTGACTGATTTCCTTGGTTCTATAAGCATCTCAAATATTTTCTTCACAATTAACTTTTTCTTGACTCTTCATTGTTAAAAATATGTACAATTCTGTATCTCATCTCTTCAGTAGGTCAAGCTCCTGCCAGAATAGCTGTCTCATAGATTGAGATAATATTTTCAATAGGACTTGTGATTGGCTCAGTATGTATAAGACAGATCCAATATTTAACAAGTTTTTTGGCATTTGGAATATTTTTAATCTGGTTATTCAGTGTGGCCAATATTTCTTTTGGGCATCCCTTATTAATCCAGTTCAGGCATGCAGAAAATGCCTTATTGACTTTTTCAGTCAATAATCTTTGTTTACTTTCTTCAGCCATCAAAGTCCTAAAGGATTCAACTGGGTTTTCATTTCGTGTTTCAGGCTGAGGCTGGGGTAGCTAGTGTAGAGTTAGGAGGCCTTCTCAGCAGTCTTTATTGCCAGCTTCCCATGCATTCAGATGAGCTTTTCTCTCTAGAGCGGTTTCTTTGGGCTGAGCTGATGTGTGAACAGTTGCTTTTGCTGTAGTATATCTTTGTTGGTCAGTAGTTTTTGACTTTTCTGCCTGTTTGGGACTAGAAAATGAACAGGCCTGGGTATAATTTCAGATGCCATGTTTATAGTAGTGCTTTACTTTTTTTTTTATATCCTGAGACAACTGGTTTTGACACTCCATAGAAGTGTTTCCAATTGTAACATTGGCAGAGGCTCTGCTGATATCTTGTTGGAAGAATGTTATTGTGGTAGCTAAATGGGAGGTCATATGAGTTGTGTGTTCTGAGATGTAATGCTCTCAGATTTAGTGGCACCCGGCATTTTTAAGGCTCTGTCATCTCTTATTTTTGGAGTGCTGGTGTTTCTAGGCTCAGGCTTTGTGGCTTTGAACCAGCAGTTGGAAGTTTCTCTGTTGTGGGCAGAACTCTCATCTTTGATGTGTAGAGGTTTTCTGAATGAGTTACTCTTAGACTGAACAATTTGGCCACGATAAGATCAAGTACAGGTTTCTTGGGCGTGTTAGCATCCTGCTTGGGTTTTTCGGCAGTCATTTGTTTCTTTACATCATTATTTTTAAGATGAAATGCCTCTCTTAATGTCATTTTGATTTGGGGGATCATTTTTAATTGGTAACAACTGCAGAGTTTGATTATCCTCAAAATTATGTGTTTTAGTTGCTGCAGTTGAATTGATTATTGGACAGTTTTAAAGAAATACAGGGTTTTTTCCATTGTTGTATTACTTGTCCTTCCTGTTTATCTTCTGATATTTTCTTTATCAGCTATTTTCGTTGTAAGTTTGGGAAGTTTTATCCCTTCTTGGACTTGGTCTTCAGATGTCATTGGTCTCTGGCCTCTACTTTTGACCTGATTTTACTGTTTGAATACCAAAGGTGCTTTTTATTTTGGCAATGTTTCTTGAATTTTTGTCTTCTTTGCTATTTGAGTGTGGACTGGGCTCTCTGGCTCAGGGCCCGCTGTGGGTCTCAGGACCTGGCCGGAATGCTCGTAGCTGTTGCTGGCAGGGGATGCATCTCTTCCTAAAATGGCTCAGGCTCCTGCAGGCCTCTTCCACCACTCACTCGTATTTATCATTTCCAGTCTCTTCAGTCCTGCCTGAAGATCCAAGTTTCCATCTGATATCATGTCCCTTCAGCCTAAAGAGGTGCCTCTATGATTTCTTGTAGAGTAGTCTGTTAGTGTTTACTTATCTCCAAATGTCTTTATTTTGTACTCATTATTGGAGAATGTTTTCATTGGATGCTGAGTTCTGGGTTGATAGGTTTTATTCACCTTTCAGAATATTAAAAGATGATTTGTTGTCTTCTAGTTTCTTTGTTTCTTCTTCTTCTTCTTTTTTTTTTTCCCCGGTACTGGGGATCAAACTCAGGACTTTGTGTTTGCGAGGCAGGCTCAGTGCCACTAAGCTAAATCCCTGGCCCTGGTATCTATGTTTCTGATCTCTGGTTTGTGAAGTTTGTAATCATTTCAATTGTTATTCCCCTATATATAAATTGTTTTGTCTGGCTGCTTTCAGATTCTCTGTCCATCTTTGGTTTTCAGTAGTTGGACTAAGTGGATGACACACCTAGATGTGGTTTTATTTGTACCAATCCTAATAGGCATTTGCTGAGCTTCTTTAATTTATAAATTTGTCTCTTTATTCTGTCCGTTCTTTCTCTCCTCTATTTCTGGGGCAACAGCTATGCACATACATGTTCTTTTGATATTCTTGGATAGGTCCCTGAGGCTTGGTTCATTTTCTTTTTCCCTTCTAATTCTTTTGTCTTGGCGTCTCAAATTGAATAGTTTCTATTCTAGTTTCAAGTTTGTAGAATTCCTCCTCTCTTGTCTCCAGTGTCTTATTAAACTGGATCAAGTAATGTTTGATTTTAGTTATATATGTTGTATTTTTAGATCCAGAATTTCTGTTTGCTTCTTTAAAAAAATTTTTTTTCTATTCCTCTACTGAGATTTCTTTCTTCACACCTCCTCCCCTCAGACAGACTTGCCCAAGTTGGTCTCCTACTTGCAATTCTGCTTCAGCCTCCCGAGTCCTAGGGTTACAAATGTTTACCACCATACCTGGCTGCTTGACTTCGTTGAACATAGTTATAGTAACTATTTTAAGATCCTTTTCTGCTACTCCCAAT